TTGGCAAAAAGAAGTCACATTCCAACTTTCACTGGGGGTGGCAAGCATCAGCCCAGAGGAAAAGATCAATAATATTTTGGTAAAGAAGGTTATAGATATTTTATCATTCACAGTATATGATATCATGGATAAGTGAGCACCACCACACACTAGTAGTTATACACAGCTACATGTAGTAATGGAGTATTAAACTTAAACGGGCAATGAAATATTGGAAGATGTCAAGAAATGTCATCACTTGGTTCAGTTCAGTACTGGGAGTGAAACATAGTCATAACCAAGGTTGGGGTCATGGTAGCTAGGGTAATAGTCTTGGTCATGGAATGAGGGAAATCCCAAATTCAGAGTGTTGGAATAAACTAAGAAATGCATGTTGTGTATAGTAGGTATAAAGGAATATTAAATAAAGTGTATGGAAGATGAGAGATTTCAGAGAATGCCAAAAACACAGTTCACCTTATGGTTTCCTTTAGCCAGGGATTGGAAGTATCTTAGGTTTATCAAGGTCTTCCTTGGCTGCTTACTGACATTCCTGAGAATGCAACCCACAACAGTTACCTAACTCCTAGGGTATCTATATACTGCTAAGTGAACGGAGGCATCAAGTGAAAGGAAAAGTTGCCCAAACGCTCCTGTCCTACTTCAGGAATAGAAATATGAACTTTTCGTTTTTTGGTTACTATCCAATTGCATGAATAGTACTCATAATGACATAAAAAGTAAAGAAAACAGCTCAATCTCAACAAGCCACAATGTAGGACAGAAAACAGGAGATGCTTTTCTACCCACAGCATTATAAATCCATGGAATTGCCTACACTTGAAGCCAAAGATACTTTTGCTTAAATTTAAGATGAAAATAATTTTCAGGAATAATTGAGAGAACCTTTGAAAATCTGCCAGTCTCCTGGTCCTGCCGAAGCCACTAGAGATGGTGACGCTCGAGTAAACTCAAATTAGGTTGCTCGGAGGCTTATATTATGTGGCCTCCCTTACTACCCACTAGGAGGGTACCCCCCTGGGAAAAGTAATACATTAGTAGTACAGCATAATAGATTTACCTGAATTTGGCCTCCACAAGGGGATAGGAAGCCTGTGGCTCTTCAAAAGACCCCATTATTCATAAAAATTTCAGTTGAATTTTGAGCAGAAGTACTGTCTTGGCATTTATGGCTTCAGCTGGTTGGCAATTCCATGGGTTTGTTACCTATCATAAACCCATGCATAACTCATATTGACAATATGGTGCACATAATGAAGTACTATGTTAGGTACATTGTACTCATTTACCAGAACATACTAATTAATACAAATACAATGATAAACTAGAATGAGAAATATAATATTGTCGAAACTACTTGATGTAAATGGAGCACAACATAAGGATCTGGATGCAAACCCCAGAAATGGGTACAGTATTTGCTGCCTGGAACAGGAAGCCCTTAACTGGCTTGTCCAAGACCCCCTAGACAATGATATAAACCTGGCTACAGGTACCCAACTGTACCCATCGATTTACAGTAAAACTGCACCCATCGATTTGCCGGTCACATTCAACACTAATGAACATATAATCTACAGCTCACACCACAATACTATCATTATTACTTGCTTCTAAGTACTGTCCCCAATACCTAAATGAAGTGTAATGTTTGTAGGACCCGATTTGTAGTTTTTGCCAGTTATTTACGACCTCCCTTGTGAAGTGGGGAACATTAATTGGTTTCCAATAGTCAGAGACAGGAAGGCTGTTAAGAGTTATCAAGGTTCCCCAAGGGCCACCTGCTGATCTTTTCCCCGAATATAACCCACAATAACTGCCTAACGCCCTTGCACCTATTTACTACTAGGTTAACAGGTGAAAGGAAACAATGCCCAAATGTTTTTATCCTGCCATGGAAACTGAATCTGAAAATAGGAACTTGTATTGCAGATAACATTTTAATTGAAAAAACTTTCTCAAATTTAAGTGGTCCAAAAGCCACTTAATTTCTGAGAGCATGTTGGAAGATATAAGGGGGAATGAGGTCATTTATATAAGTGAAGTATGGAAATAAGATAAGCCAGAAGATCACCTACCAAATAACGCTGGGAGGCATACACTGAGAGGCGTATACCACACTTCTTGATGTATATATACGGAGAGTTTAGTACAGTCCTGGACAATGTTCAGAGATAAAATATACTTGCTAGTTGGTCGATAAGCTCTTGTGGTGGCTTTAATAACCCTCCTGCTGTTGATAGGCCTTAAACCCAACACCATATTTTAGATGTTCTCTGAAAAGTAATTGACATATATGGAGTTGCTCAAATGTTATTTAATGTGGTGCAGAGTTTTTGTTCAGAAATTATTGCATGTCAAAGAGTTAATGACATAATGAGCAATTAATTTTATATTAATATGGGATTATTTCAGGAATGGGCAATGTAATTTAATGTATGAAAGGAGTACAGTACGTACTGTCTAAACTTACTTATGTGGACTATATAGGAAGGACCCCACACCTGATTAGCCAGACATCTGGATAAGGAGAATTCTTACTGGGGTTTGGAGTCCAAAACTTACCATATTCCCAATTTTTTGTACAACAACCAATATAATTCAAATTTACACACACATTATAAATCAATAATATAATTAAAAAAAAATTCACCTTACCTTGTTGTAATTCATTTTTTTTGTTTGATACTGTAGATCACGAAACGTGTCGTTTTTTAAAATTTACGTAACCTAATATCCAGTTATCTGTTTTTCCGTCCAGATATGGCAAAGTTTTGCCATAAAATTATCTATATGCGATTTTGGCTGAATAAACAAAGTAGTTCAGCGGGCTTCAGAAAACCGAGCTCATACAGCATTGCTTATTTAATATGATGTACTCATTTGGTTGACCAGTCTAAATATCTGGGGTTTGTAATCAACAAAGAAGAAGTTTGTGCAAAATAAGATAAAAACAGAATAAAAGACAGTCATGGAAAGTGTCAGATGCAGTTTAAGTCTTGGTTAGAAACACTGTTGTTGGCACACAGCGGGTAGCATGAAAAAAAAAAGTGTGGTTGTGTCTATATGTATGCATGGATGCGAGATACTGTTGTGCCATGACAAGGAAAAATCAAGAGTTAGAACAGTGAAAATCAATAATCTGAGATGCCTTTGTGGTGTTGAGGTGATAGGTAGAGTAAGGAATTAATAAATCAATAAAGGGTGGGAGTGCAAAAGTCAGTATATAACTCAAAAGATTGAAGAAAGTGTATTGAGATGGTTTAGTAATGCTGAATAAAAGGATAATGATAGAGCATACTGAATTCAAATGATTGAGGGAAGACGAAGAGGACGGACACGACGACTGACAGAACACTTCTTACTTGTACTTCTCATTCATCTATCCAATTCTTACTGAAGTTTTTTATGAATAAAGATTGATTGATTTATGGGTGACCAGTATCTGTTGCATAATGATTAGTGTAGTCTGCTCTCAACTGATTCAACATAAGTTTGAGTCCCAAGCAGGTTGAGACACTTGGACACGTTTCCATACAACCCTTGCCTCTGTTCATCTCCAAGTAAATAGGTACTGTACTGTAAATAGGTATTGCATTACGTTGCAGTCCTGGCAAGGTTTGTCATTGTCCTAGAGGTATCTAAAAAACAAAAAAAGTCTAATGGAGTTAGTGTCCCTGAAAACAGGCAAATATTACATTAGTGGATCTACCATTACATCACTGGCAACATAACACAATATTTACTCAAGGGCGACCATTTATAATGTTTATGGCAGGGACTGGAAACTTGGGGCTAGTGGAAAGTTCTACAATTCTTTCTGATCACTTTTCTCCAGCTGTATTTTAAACTGTAGCTGTATTAGTGTTTATAGCTTTGACAGATGAAAAGGCATCGCTTCTTGTCTGATCTACATTAAAATTTGGCGAGCTTGAAGCTATTGCCTCTTGAGAGAGTCACATTGGACATGCTACAGAAGTGGGCTGTATTAACTTTCTCTAACTTGTTCAGTATCTCATTCTCAATGAGAATGAGGTTAGCCTTGTCATGCCTTATTCAATGAGTAGAGAATCACTGTTTCCTCTCAGCCATCATGTTATAAGAATTAGCTTAATTTGGGGATACATTTTTCTGGATGAAGCCTCCATCTTTGCTTTATAGTATTCCTTGTGAAAGTGTATAATGGATTCATATTGCTATATAACCTCTTTTTCCTTCCCTTAAAGTTGAAGGTTCATTTGATTATTCCTATGGTTTTGTTGGCCTTTTTTTTTATGGTAGCTCCTACTTGCTTAGCAACTTTCAATGACTGGTGGACTGAATCTGTTGCAAGGTCATACACAGCTGGTATAGTAACAGTGATGTGTAATGCTCTAGGCCTACTTGTAAAGTCTTATATTTTTCATTAGTGAAGAGCACTTGCTAGTCTTTTCCTCATTTGTGAAGTCTGTAAAGGCCATTTAGCAAGGCTGCCAATAATTATCACCTGTTTTACTGTAGATATTTATTACCAACGAAGTTAATCTATGTAGCTTTTGATGTATGTTGCATACCAACCCGTCCTAATAGAGTGTCACATTTTGACTCATACTTTATCTAAGGCCAAAATTCATCTACTAGAAAATGGTAGTGGCTTGCAAAATTGATATACTGTCCCATTTTCTGTTTTGGGTCGTCTTGTAGGTTAGGAGAGGGGACTTTAATATGACAGTTTCTTGACGTTGGGAAACCTTAAAAGGACAGGCTGTACATACAGGGTTAACTTCAAAATTTATCCTTCCAACACTCAGTTCACAAGTTTTTGGTTGATTCTATTCCATTTATCATCACTCTTTACTTCCTTTGTTTAACCAGTTTTATTTTTAATACCATATTGGTGATTGCATGTGTTTGTATTTTCTAGGCCAATCTTTCTGACGAATAATTTGTACACTACAGTATTATCATCATACACATGTACCTAAGGCTAACAAAAATTTTACTAAATTTAATTCCTTCAGGCGATCACTTACCAGAGGTCAGCCCCGCAGAAAGTTTAGAATTCCTTCGAAAACTCAGCAAGGCCCTCGTGCTCTTCGCCCTTCTTTCACGAGAACCACAACTACTCCCAGAACCACAACCACAACTACTGCACCACAGATCTCCGAGGTTACAACCATGGAACCAGCCCCAGCACCACAAATAACGCAAACCACAACCATGGAGCCATCAATGGAACCAAAAGTAATTGAAACTACAAACACAGAATCAGCCCCAGATCCACAAATTATCGAAGTTGCACCCATGAAACCCGCCCCAGCACCACAAGTCCTTGAGACCAAAATCATGGAACCAGTTCCAGTACCACAAGACATTGTGAAATCCGTCCCAACACAAGACATTGTGGAACCTGTCCCAACAGAAGACATTTTGGAACCCGTCCCAACACAAGACATTGAGGAACCAGCTCCAGTACCACATGTAATTGTGCAGCCAACCCCAGTACCACACATAATTATGGAACCAGCTCCAACACCACGTGCATTTGTGGAACCAGCTCTAGCACCACATGTAACTGTAGGACGAGTTCCAACACCACAAGTTATTGTGGAACCAGCTTCACCACGCATAATTGAGGAAATAATCATAGAGCCAGCTCCAGCACCAAGTGTAACTGTGGAACCAGCCCCAGCACCACAAGTCATTATGGAGCCTGCTCCAACACATGTAATTGCAGAACCAGCACCACAAGTCATCACGGAGCCAGCTCCACAAGTCATCACGGAGCCAGCTCCACAAGTCATCACGGAGCCAGCTCCAGTGCCACATGTAATTGAGGCCGTAGTCATGGAACCATCTCCAGCACCACAAGTCACTGAGGATACTGCCAGTGAACCAGCCTCAGATCCATTAATAATTGAGGAAATGTCTGTGGATCCTACAACTGAGATTACAACTGAAGCAGTTAATGCCACTGAGGAAGTAGTCACAAGTACGTTACCACCAGTGATACGTCCCAAGCCAATCCGTATTCTTCCTCCTGTTAAAACACCACGAAGAGGCTCTTCCAGGTAATACTCTTAGATATTCTGTGATAAATTTAGTAATCATTCTGAAGTAATTATCAAAAGGAGGCACATAATAATTTACAGTTATTATCCATAACTGATTGGAGAGTGCTAAATAAGATGAATTTACAAAACATCTTCAAACTCTCATTCTTCATAAATTTTTCAGTACTTGATGTTTATTTCAACTTTTTGTAAGGTATTAGTAGTCAATATAAAATTCAACTTCTACGTCTACCATTTTCTATACGGCAGAAATTAATCGTTACAGAAGTTTTGTGCTGAGTTGTCTATCTACTTTAATTTTTTTCTAAATACCAGGGGCCAGATGCACGAAGCAGTTATGCAAGTACTTACGAACGTGTACATCTTTTCCCCAATCTTTAATGGCTTTGGTTACATTTATTAAACAGTTTACAAGCATGAAAACTTCCCCATCAACTGTTGTTATTGTTATAAACAGCCTCCTGGTGCTTCAGAGCTCATTACCTGTTTAATAATTGTAAACAAAGCGCCAAAGATTGAGAAAAGATGTACAGGTTCGTAAGTCCTTGCATAACTGCTTCGTGAATCTGGCCCCATATCTATTGTCCTTCTATATATCTGGTGCATCTGAATATATTTAGTTTTTTAATATATCACTCAAGTTGAATTTACCATAAAGAGATAGCAAGTACAGAAACACTTCCATAACACAATAATCACACAATCACAACTTGGTTCAGGCTCCTGACCCCCCCTTCCTCAGTCAACCAAGTAACATAGCAACCAAGTGCTATGCCACTTGGTTGCTCCCTAGGGCAAAAATAAAAACTCCTGATCACAAGACAGGTCGATGCTTTATCGAGGGAATTTAACAATCTGCACTGGCACAGCAGAGATCGTCTTAAACTGTTCCTTCTACATCATACTGTTGCAAAGGAGTAGCAATCGAATACTTGCTGCAGCTAGAAAAGACTGCTAGAAAGCACATTAAAAACTCAAAACCCTTTCAAACACTAAATGGCAATGCAAGAATTGCCAATTAGCCTATTTGCAAACTCCCAGTTTCCCCATCTGACCACTGCACCTTGCTGATTGCCACCAAGTGACAATTTGACTCGGGTCACATCAGTAACTTATTGACCTCCTTGCTGGTTGTTGGGCAACCAGCGAGTGACTTGGTGCTATGTAGTGCGCTTGCACTATTAGCAGAAGCTTCTCCTGTATGGATATATGGCAGTCATTTGTCTTTGCTCTGTAATGGACTGGGTTATCATTGTTATTTTCAATATTCTAGCTCCTGCTTGATAACTGCTTGATGGGGTTCTAGGAGTTGTTCTACTCCCCAAGCCTGGCCCAAGGCCAGGCTTGACTTGTGAGGGCTTGGTCCACTAGGCTGTTGCTTGGAGTAGCCCGCAGGCCCTCATACCCACCACAGCCCGGTTGGTCCGGCACTTTTTTAGAAAACAAGCTAGTTTTCTTTTGAAGATGTCCATGGTTGTTCCGGCAATATTTCTTATAGTCGTTGGGAGGACGCTGAACAACCGCGGACCTCTGATGTTTATAATGTTCTATACAGCTTGGATTGTGCATTTAAACCAATGGGGTATAACCTTTCTAGATCTTCCACTAAATTTGCAGTAGTGTAGGGCTTTAATCTGTGGACATAGGCATTCATGTTGCACAGGATACAACATGAACATTCAGGAAATGATGGCATTGTGATTGTGCTGAAGTGCATCCCTCTGCCGAGAGGCTCAGCTACATGTCTTCACTTGAACAATGATTTAGTGGTGCTTTTGTCTCAATGTCGGGTCCCTCCCAGGATAGCTCCTCTGAATTTAAAACAAGGTACTGTAATTAACATTCACAGGGTGTCCAATGTAATGACAGATTGCCTCACTCTGGTTCATCCCAAGGGTGAGAAATGGGATGATGGATCTGTTTGCATCCATGTGGAACAGACAACTCCATGCATGTGGCTTTCTTCCGTGGTTGCAATTCATTTGCACAGGACACAGCATTTCAACTGGAATCAGGAAGAAACTATTTATGTTTCCTTCAGTCCCAAGGCTTTAGGTAGTTCTAAAGCAAATGAGTTTTGTGGGACTGAACAGTTCTTCTTGCTCCATGTTGACTTGTTCAGCCCTGTTCTGGCCCCAGCCCAGTTCTGACCCCAGCCCAATTTTCTTTCCTGCCCTGCTCCTCAGCAGGAGCAGATTGATTGGCAGGCAGGTATAGATTGGCTGCTCGCTTTTTGTTTTAACCCCCCCTAACAGCACACTCTAAATTAGGCACATTTACTGGTGTGCATACAAAAAAAAAAAAAATTCTTCCCTGTATCATAAAGCATTTCTTTCTGATGGTGGGGGGAAAAATTCTTATCATTTTAGTTTGGCCAAAGTGAGGTAAGAAATGTTGAAAACATTAAATTCCGAGAATTATTTTCAAGTTAATTACAGTATTTATAATAGATTTCTCCTCATCACTATCTTCCAGATTCATAAAACCATCGTTAAATGTAATGAAATGTCATTTTCTGGGTGAGCCCTAGAGCTATCAGGCTAATATGCGATATATTAGACTACGGCTTTAGTCAATATTGTTCAGCCAACCAGGACCACGAGCCAGAACCTGGGCTCCTCAGAGAAACAAAGGGAGCAATGGCCTATTGAAACCCCCCCCATGTGGTTAGGGGTATTCCATATCTGCCATCGACTGGGCTTGGCACCCAAAAAGGTAGACATAACAAAACAAACCCCACTTTGTAAGAAATTGCGACTGAAAATTTGGGGGTGGGGGAGGAATGGGAGAGCTGTGCGGACAGGCAGTGCGGCAATGTGTGACGTTTGCTTGTTTCCTTAAGATGTAGGGAGAGTTCTGCCTCCCTGTTCGGTTTCCAGTCACTATTTCTTACCAGGTGGGGTTTGTTTTGTTATGCCTACCTAGTCTAATATATTGCATATTAGCCCGATAGCTCCAAGGAGCCATAGGGGCTCCCCTATATTAAAGTCCTTGAAATTTGTCAAGGTATCAATGATATCAATGCATGGTATCAATAATATCAATGCATGGTATCAATAGTCCCTAGTGTGGGAATCATTTAATGGATGGTGATACACCTAACTTGGTTCCAGATTTTTTATTAATGTCAATGAAGGAAACTAAGGCTTTCAGGATTTTTTTTTCCAATATGACAAGTAATTGCCAAAGGTCTCTAGTGTTGAATGATGTCCACATAGAATCTTTAGGACTTGTGAATATTACAGGACACATCTAGTTAATCACAGATGACTGACACACCAACGCATATCACTAGTGGGTGACTGGAGCATTTAAAGGGTTAAGGAGCAACTGACATGCTCAAAAAATTTATTTTAATTTTACTCTATTCACAGTCTGATTTTTTTTTTATTTTCTAACATGATTAATCCATCCTAAGGTATTCCACCCCCCAACACACACATCTTTGACGAAGGTATCCTACATCTGTATGTTCTTCACTATTGTTTATCTCCCACATAAAGAAATATTAATAATTGTGTGCATTGGATTTTACTTGCAGGTTCACTCCACCGAGGGCCCCCTCTCATCCTATCATCCACACAACTCAAGCACCGAGCAACATATTTTATCCACCACTTTCGACCTCAGTAAGGGCAGGTGCCCGTGCCACGGCATCATCCAGTCATGAAACTAGTCGTAACGAAGTTACACAAGATCCTGCAGTTAGAGCCCCTACTTTATCTAAGGCAGAGACTAAACCAAGCAAGTACCCAACAATAAATTATGGACCATCAGATATACGTTATGCGGGTGGAGCTGTTGTCATCACAGAAGTAGGCACTGTTGAAGATTCTCCAGTTGATGAGGTTCGGCGGATATTAAGTGGATTTGGCAGCCGACGACGAGGATTGGGTCGTCCGCAGGAAAAACGAATACCCGTAGTCCAAAAAGCTACAGTTCCTGAGCCAATTTTCCATTCTAAGGCTCCTGCAGAGTCAACTGATTATGATTACACTGATTATTACTATGATGATCTCATCTAGCAAGACTATTTTCACTGACAATATAGTATAGTACAGTATACTTATACAACATTGGTAATGGATACACATTACAGTACAGCAGAGGCAAGTGTACCTGTACCAAAAATTAACATACTGTACTATATTGTTGACGTATCTTCAAATTCAAAATTTACATTATAATTTCATAATACAGTCAAAATCAATCTAGCTAATGCAAGAATTGTACAGAAGAAATTGTCCCTGTAACAAAAACATATTACATTATATAAAAGTGGCGTGTAAGGGAGTATTGTATCTACTTCTGGTAACTACTGTACAGTATTAAATTTCAGTTATATAATACAATTAAGACTATAATTTACAAATTACTGTACAACACAGTCTAATTAATGTTTATACACAGGGTGACTGGAACCGAAAGTAACACAAGATGATCTATTTTTGGGTAATAACTCACTTTAAATATTAATGCTCTCACAACCAAAGACACATTCTTATGGTATTTTGAGATCATTATTTAATATTTGTTTTATTACAATAATATTTTTAGCTTACATATAGCATAGCCTGGCTCCTTTAGCATGGTGGTCTACATCCTTGGCATACACTCGAGGCACCCGGGTTCAATCCCCAGGTAGGACAGAAACGATTAGGCACATTTCTTTTCACCTAGCAGTAAAATTAGTACCTGGGAGTAAAATTATATGGTTAAAAGCATCATATTATTCCATAATATCTGGAGTATATGAAAATAAATGTTTTTCTTTACTGTAATTTTCTATTTTGCTATAAAAATATGCAAATCTTTTTAGCCCAATATTAACTCGTGTGTTGGGGAATGTTCAACGAAGTCTGAAATGTGGAAGGCAGACGTCTTGTTCTTGTCACTTACCACCGCTGTTAGTATATGTAATCCTTTCTTAAGCTTAATGTCTTCATAACTATATTAATTTTACACTGCCTGAATTTCAGAATAGAAACCGATGTGTGTCTTCAACATCAGGGTTATTTAGGAAGACGATTGTTTTCTGGGAAGAGTAGAAATGTCGTGCTCGCTCTCTTTCATGTCATTTTGATCATGTTTTTATGGTCAATATTGTCACCTATTTATTTCAGATTTTTTTTTGTATTTAGCATAACTGCGCTATCATTTTAGATACATAGTGATTACATATATTACATTAGGCAGAACTTTAATACAAAATCATTATAAAATATGAAATAACAATGACAGCAAGATTAAATATTCACCATGAAATACATGGACACTTTAACATAATAAGGGCCTTATATATGCAATACTGTATACATAAAAATGCACGAATATGAAAACAGTTGCCAGTGCAGCATTTGCAACATTAACTGTGCCCACAGCTATTGTTATCAATTACTTAGATAATCAGTAAGCAATGACATGTTTTGTTTTTTTTACCTAAGAATCAAAATATTGCAGCTTGTTGGTGTTTGGCATCAATGGTGTGGCAAATTTGCACACAGTATGGCAAAGATCAATGTCAGTGATGAGCATTGAGACAAGTCACCAGTTGCAACAATACACTGAGTCATATCGTTTTAAATAAAAATGTAGGCCATGAATATCTATACAGTACTTCATCCCTCCAAAGAGTGAAATACACCATACAATCATATGTACTGTATGCTGCTACAGTAATTGATCAATGTCTTTTTCACTCACTGGATACAAGAATAAAAAGATGCAAAATAAAACATGTCATTTAGTATTTCATAGAAAACAAACTTAAAATAAAATATGTATGCTGCACTCATTCACGGAATGTATAATACTCTAAGCATTCTTCCAGAAATAATGAGGCTAATACAGTAAATTATCACATCAATTCTGTAGTCTCAGCATTTGAATCATTCACTTTCAAACAACTACTGAGTTTTACAGCAGTAATACAAAAATGTTCTTCACTTCTCATGTACTAAAAGATTTATTCAGTTATACATTCCAGGCAGTTATTGTTGGTAATTATGGATCGTCGTGTGGCTCGTGACAGCCTTTTTTTGTTTTTTTCCTGGTTTATTCTGTTTACCTATCTTGTTTTTGTTTTTAAAACACAAGTATTTATAGTATGCCAAGTTATGATTCATCTTGGCACATACAAATGGGCATTGATAGTACTAAATTATATATAGTAATGCAATAAGTTGTTGAGTAAGGATGTGTGTAAAATTAAATGAATTGAGTAAACCCTTAGATTACTGCATGTAGTTGGCATTCTTATATACAATGCCCTTCTCGGCATATATTGTATGTTAAAAAAAAATTATCTGGATATCCAGTATCTTACCATTATAGCAGGGAGGATTTTGAGCCATTATCCTTGACATGAATAGATCATGAATTGACCAGACCACACACTAGAAGGTGAAGGGACGACGACGTTTCGGCCCGCCCTGGACCATTCTCAAGACGATTGTGAATGGACAATCGGTCCATTCCTGGACCGTTTCGGTCTGTCCTGGACAATCTACTTGAGAATTGTTCAGGACAGACCGAAACGTCGTCGTCCCTTCACCTTCTAGTGTGTGGTCTGGTCAACTTACTTTAGCCACGTTATTGTGACTCATCGCCTGCAGATCATGAATTCATGAGTAGTACTGTTTATGTTACACAAAGGCTTATAAATGCCTCAAGATGCTTATAATGGACATTTTTTATCCACAAATGCTCTCCTTTACTTTAAGAATATAATTTTTGGGAATAGATGAAGGTAATTCTTTTAGTGTCCAAGTATAAAATGGCTCCCAACTTCGAGCAATATATTTACAGTACTATATATGCACTGGATGATTATCATCGAAAAATAAATTAAAATTTAAGTTTTTTCTTAAAGTAACGTAAAAGACCTTAAAATGCAAGACCTTTTTCCGAAATAAACGGCACCAGCAAACTGTACTGACTCACTGCATGGAAAAGATAGATCTGTATTATTATAGTATGTTCTTTTGTTTAACATTGAATTTGTTCTCCAAAAAAATGTTATACTGTATATAGTTTGTTAAAATTTAGTTTCATGTAGTTTTGGGTGGTATACTTTTGTCAATGTTTATGCGTAGAAATGGTTAAATCCTCTGTACTTCTCTACAGCTCAAATGTGATATTATGTGGCATTGTTATAATAAAGCTATTAGAAAAACCTCTAGAAAGTGACACATTATCCTAATTTTGTTATCGTTTTGGGGTATTATCACTGTACATTTAAATGCTTATAATTATTTTGTTTATAAACACTAAACAAAAAATCAACAGATGGATCTATGCTCGTGATATCCCATCTTCCAGTACAGTACAGTAAAGTACAGTACTACTGTAACACATTATTTATTTCTAAACTGCACTACACTATTGGCAGCTTGAGATGCACTTTCATTCTATTTTCAGCTACTTTAACAGGGAGGCCTTCCTCTATGTTCCTTCGGCTTGAAGATAAGTTAAAAAGGCCGTGACCACCTCCTCTCTTATACTCTTTGCCTCCAGTTTATCCCTGGACTTGTTTAGTGTGCCAATTGCCTCTGGAAGATATAATGTGCCCCATAATATTAGAAAGCCCTAAAGATTTTGTGTGGACATTATTCAACACTAGAGACGTTTGGCATTTATTTGTCATACTGTATTGGAACAAATTCTGAAAGTCATAGCTTCCTGTCTAAGAATTTAAAACATTGGCACCATGTCAGGTGCATCACTATCCATTTAATGACACCCACGTTAGGAACCAGTGACGCCATGCAGAATTTCAAAGCCTTTTATGGACCTAAAAGATATTATTGATGATATATATTACAATTAGTTAGCTTGAAAATTAATTATCTGAATTTGATATTTTCAACATTTATTGACCTCACTACAGCCAAAATTTAATTTTTTTCCCCGCCATCAGAAGAAAGAAATGTTTTACAATACACAAAAGGAATTGGTTTGTTTTATTCATTTTATTCATAGCAGGAAATTGACCTATTATTGGTTATGCAGTTTGGGGTTAAGGGGGGGCTTGCCAAGTTTTTTTCAAACTTTACAAATTCTTACTTTATACAGCACCACAAAGCCTTATCTTTTCAGTTCCATTTTAAGCTTGAACTAAAAGAATTCAGCAAATTCTAATACGTACTGCATAAATATAAAAAAAAAAGTTAGCGTTGCCAATGCCAATGTTCTTGCATATCCTTCTGTGGTAGCTTCTATCCAGTCTCATAAAATTTCCCCAGGTTAAAATATAGTAATACAAGACATATCATTTAAACTGTAAATGTTATTTATTCATAAAATACTACAGTATACTAAACACAAGTTTACATTTCTATATAATCCTACCATATTACTAAGGTAAAGTTACCAAGGTAACTTTTATCAGTGAATGTACAAGCTAAACATGCTCACCTTAAAATTACTATACAATACTGTATATACAGTAAAATAAAGTCATCATTCAGCAGGTTTTTCATGTTTTTTCGGCTTATCTTGGATGGACAGCGAACTGAGGTCGAGACTCTCCAGCTGATTAATAAGCTCAGTATGCTTGAATTGATCAGGCATATGGTGAAACCTTTCCAAGATTTCTTTCTTGACCTTGTCATTTCCACCATAATAAAGTTGAAGTTGGTTGACCAGAAACTGGGCTTCAAAGGCATTCTGGTGGCAAAACAAGTAGTGTAAACTCTAAAACCTTGGTACGATCTTAACACAAGATAATTGTGCATTTCCAGCTAGTACATAACATCTGTTAAGATTCCAAACAAGACAAGTCAAAGCACTATTGCACAATTTGGCATGCTTCATGCTAATACTTCTTTATTAGGCACAGTACCTCCTCTACTCATTTAATTTACCCCATTTTCACACTTTTCATTCTCTCTTCCATTTCCTCGTTCTAACCCTTTACCTTTCATTTTACTTGAGATGCAAGCAATCTACAGAGACTTCATTGTGGGGTTTTGAAGTAAATACTATACAACTAATTATGCAACTGTGCTATTCAAAGACCCATGACTGACAAACTGAACAGTTCTCATATGGTAAAACCTCAACTGATGACAGCCTACATATCTTATCAACAGATTATCAACTCTAGAGAAATAAAAGAGGGAAGAGAGCATGTACTTACAATTATATTCTTGTCATATTCGCCTTGCATGAAGACAATGCCTCTTTCTTCTTTCAGGTCAGGATAGTGTACTATTGTAAGGCACTCTGGGGCATTCTCTTTGTATGCCTGACAGAAAACATTATATAAGCAATAAATATTTGGAACAGGTTTAAGAAAAAAATGTGAAAAACAGAAAAAGCTAGGAGACGGACAGACAGAAAACACAAATCCCCGTAGGTATCATAAATTGGGGACAACACGAGTGCTACACAATAACTGCACCATTAAAATTATGTGACAATCAAAATCATGCAATATTAAAAATGCACTGTATGTATGCGCATTATATATATAGGTAAACTAATCCAACAATTAGAAATTTAAAATATGATAATTATGCAGGTATTTTGTTTCATTACCTCAGAACACAAGGCTTTGAGAGACTATCATTTCTTATTTTTATTGAGAAAAATACAGTACCCTCCCAAACGCATATACTGTACATTAGCCATATACTTTAATTTGTGGATGATAGCAATTGTGTGGTATTAGAGGCTCCACCTCACCAGCTACTCACCAGCTAAGGAGAGTGTAAAAGTTGATTGGTATGCTGCAAGCTCACAAACACACACACACGATATATATAAATATATATCATGTGTACACAACACACGCACCAAGATATAATGAAAGGAGGCAGGTTAGAGATAATTGAGGATATGCTAAAGAAGTACAGTATGAAGAAAAAGTATTTGAATTTGAAGAAGAAAAGGGAGCTCTCAGGAGTGAGTTTCGCACTTTAAAAGGAAGTATTCTTCAGCGAGGTAAGAAAATTACCACCTTAATGGACAACGTAAAGACAGAAGAAGAACACAACAAGAACTGGTGAAAGAAAATGAGGTATGGAAAGTGAAGAGTGGTGAATTTGAAAAATTAACAAGAAAATAGACTCATATGGTGAACAACTCCAAGAAACCCTAAAGGCCAACATAGAGTTAGGCAAGGATATGCAAAGAGAAACTTCATGGGCAACTCACATAGAGAAGGTCAACAAAAAACTAGAAAACTACAAAGAAGAACTTAAAGAGACGATGCGCAAGTTGTAAAAGAAAGACGATCAAGGAAGTGTGTTTGGAAGTCAAAACAAGAAATGACCAACAGGAAGCATTAGTTAGGCAAGCAATTAGGAAAGAACTGGTTACCAACAGTAAATTAGTACAAAACAGTACAGATAGAAATAAGTTCATAATACTTTTTGGGTGTTAGAAAAGAAGGTATCATCTAGGGTGGACAGCGCAGCAGAAGAGATGAAAATCATAGATGAAACCCTTCCCCCCCCCCTCCCCTCCTTAAATTGAGTATATTGAAGTAAACTAAAGCAGCAATCTTTTTTTTCTTTATTAAATAAAATATATCTTACCTGATAATTTATTAGAGGGGTGAAGTGCACCTCATGTGCAGCAAACTGTGCAACAATAAACTCATAACCCTCATTCCTAGGAAGCGGGAACAAAAACTGAAAATATGACAGAAAATGTTATGCCTTTACACAAACTGTATGGTGTCAAAATATATTCTAATGTGGCTCCTAAGTGATTTTCCCCCAAAACCATCTCTGCTAGTCAGTCACACTACATGTTCTAGGCCCAATTACAATTCCATCACATTATGGCAATTTAGGAAGGTATCCCCCCCCCCATCTTTCTTTGGCAACATATCTCATGTAAAGAAACTAACAGAACTAAACAAAAAATAAAAAAAGTGGCTTCTCTCTCCTGGCTGTTCCTCTCTCCCTCTCTCACTCTTTTTTTTTTTTTTTTTTTTTTTTGAGATATATACAAGAGTTGTTACATTCTTGTACAGCCACTAGTACGCATAGCGTTTCAGGCAGGTCCCTGGAATACGATCCCCGTGAAGAATCGTTCTTACCGACAAGCCCTCCCAATGACACCATAAACATAATGTTAAACAGAATCAGGATACAGAATCTATATAGGTATTCTTCAATTAATTGAAACACTTAAGATTCCCAAGAAAATATACCTAGGTATGTTATGATTGGGAAGAGTATCCATGGACAAACATGTATACTGCTCAAATTCTTAATCTTTTATGTACATATTACACCAATGTATTGCATCCATACCTAAGACTTGTTCTTATCACTCCCTTATGTAATTCTTTGAATGGATATATTCCTGACATTTTTTTTCCTAAAATCCCTTAAACAAATACTTGCTAGTTTAGGAAGAACATGAGAAAGCAGAACAGTGCAACACATAAAGAACATAGTAATGATATATCTACAGATGAACATAGAATTACAATATCTTGGTTGCTCATGTCCATCCCTAAAGCAAGTACTGTAAGAGGCCCCACCGAAGCTGAACGATAAACGACTGTTGTGACATAAAGCATTGTTTGAGACCAAGCGTGAATAATCAAAGTGTTGGTGTATCTCGAAGGTGAAGAGGCAGTTTGTTCCATATATAGAAACTTCAGAACAATAGTGATGCTAAAATTGCAATGATGAACTTTTATACAGCAGCTTTTGCACTTTTATTCAGCATCTTTTGCCCCTTACTATGCAATCGCATATTTATATATTCATAAAGAGACATCAAAACAAGAGCTTACTGTTGTGTATTTAGCACCCGTTTCATAGAGTTTCCAGTACGTGTCAGCAGGAATGATTCCGCTTACTGCATCCTTGTTCCGAAAGTGTTCTGTCCAGATCTGGAAAAAAAAGAGCATTCAAATACAACAGTATGAAAACTTTCTTCCTTACATGGCAATCTAGAGATGAGTATATTTGCTTATGTAGAAACCAAGCACTGACTGCAATTGAATGCCTCTTTATGGGCAGCCTCAAAGATATCCACAATGCTACTAGGACTCTGAACTTGCGCAGACCTTCCGAACATCATGAATGTTATCTTGTATGCTCACAGAGCCGAGAGGTGCAGGGGTACCCCAGAGATCGGCCCAAAACTGAATAAACCCACCCAGATGGTACAGGTGACGCAAAACTATGTATCTTATAGATAGAAACGATTGAAACAAGGTAAGCCAACCAGAATTCCCCTGAGAAAGAAGAACCAAGAGCAGGCAGATAGAGCTACTGAGGCCATCTAAAAAAGGATTTGGCAATGCATTGAAAGTTATATTTCTGAACTGGCCCTTCAGTAGCTCTCTGATGCAATCACCCAATGGCATCTCAGAGGAAACTAGCATTGCTAAAAAAAACAATTTAATAAAGAACAAAGATGGAAGTACTTTCCATGAGCAGAGAAGGTTGGAGACCAGGGTTATCTTGAAGTTATCTTGAGATGATTTCGGGGCTTTTTAGTGTCCCCGCGGCCCGGTCCTCGACCAGGCCTCCACCCCCAGGAAGCAGCCCGTGACAGCTGACTAACACCCAGGTACCTATTTACTGCTAGGTAACAGGGGCATAGGGTGAAAGAAACTCTGCCCATTGTTTCTCGCCAGCGCCTGGGATCGAACCAGGGACTACTGGATCACAAGTCCAGTGTGCTGTTCGCTCGGCCAACCGGCTCCGGTTTCGCCTTTTCGCTTCAAGGCGAAAACTAGGTTTGGATATGAGCGTATCTGGGCAGTATTTAATGGCAGAGCGAGAAATAAAACATGATGATTTGCATCAGCAGGCTTAACCATATACCTTCACTCCGTAACAGTGCAAATTATGATAAAATTAATTATATTTATTGAACAAGTTATGACCATGTAAGATTGGACTGTGTATATTCAGACCATTTAACTATTGACTGCAGAGGTTCAGAGCATGTAGGTTTGACTGTATAAAACGTGACTGCGTAGATTATGACTGCATGGGTTAGGAACTTAAGTGTGTGCTATTGGTTGAAAATATGTAAGGCAAAAAAAAGAATACTCAGGACTTACATATTTTAGTTCTTCATTGGTCTTGTCTTTCAGAAGATCAATCTTCAATATGCTGTCAAGTTTCTGTAAAAATTGAAATTGAATTCAGAATGCAAATATGGCATTGAGTTAAACATATTTATAGTTATAGTACTGTATTTACATCCTCACAGAGCTAAGTTCTCCTACAATCCTAACAATGAATACTGTACTTGCTAATGTAATGGGAACATCCCACGTGTGAATGGGGTGGCCATAGGGTGATTCTTCCCAGATATTGCATGTGTGTCTTCCAGTGTTTATTTAAGACTTAAGTGTCTTAAGTGAGCTGTAAGCTTTTGAGATTGTGCTTTTGGCTGTAAGTGTTAACTCTTTATTTAAAACTCTTAAGGATTGAAAATTAAATATTCAACTAAGCAACAATCATTATTCCTCAATAGCTAAACAAATAAAAACACAGATCCCAGACATAGATCTCTTTGCATCAATTGGAATCAGCACCTTCCAGTCTATGTGGCTCCTGTCCCTGATCGCAAGGCCCTCGTGGTGGATGCCTTTCAGTTGGACTGGTCACTATGTGATGTGTTTACCTCTTTTTCCCCAGTCCAGCTGTTGCTCCAGGTTTTGACCATGCTGGAGTCCTATCAGGGAAAGGTGGTCCTTCTAGCTCCTTGGTTGCCAGCTCAAGCCATGGTTAATAGTGCTGCTTGCATTGTGTCCTCACCTGGGCATTTTTACACAGCTCTGCCTCTTTCAGAAAATTGGTCCAGTCGCGTACCTAGCTAGTTGAAAAAAACTTCTTGATTCTTTGTGTCTGGTCTTTCTGGTGCATCTTTACTGCCAACTCTATGGCGAGCAGATGGTTGGGTTGATTTGATGTTATCCCACCTGCATTTGTCTTCCTAGCAGCAGTATGAAGTAGCTTGGCGCCCTTTTCGCCACTTCCTGTCCCTTCGTCATGACTCTTTGGTTCCTGTTCTTGTGGTGCTTTTGTTCCTTTCTTAGTTGTTTCTTGATCGGCATCTTGTGCTGAATACTGTTACCTCTTATTGTTAGGCATTGACTGAGCCACTGCTGCTTGCAATTGGCATTGATGCTTTCTTCTCAGCACCGTTTTGGAAGCTATCTCGCACACTATTTCACCTCTGGCCTGCTCATGTGCCATCTGAGCCCAAATGGTGCTTGAACCGCATTCTCATCTTTCTTTCTTCTCCACGGTTTATGGTGTCCTCTTTGGTCCTTCGGTCAACAATTTCTTTTCCAAGGATTTTTCCTGTTAGTTGTTGCCTCCAATTGTAGGGTTTTGGAGCTTTATGCACTTCTCTGGGGGGGGGGGGTGATGTTTTTGTTCATTTGGCTATGGTGGGTTCATCAGCAGCTGTCTCCATTTCTGGTAGAAATGAGCTGGCAGGCTTCTGAACCCTTGGTTGTTGATGCTTATTTGGTTTGGCACAGGGTGCATCATGTGCTGTGTCTGGTGGGACTCTCCGCCGCTACCGTCATTCCACCAGTTCTGCTTTGGTGGATGCTTTGTCGGTGGATCCAATAGTTACACAACGTTTCCGGGCCTCATCATGTCTGTCATCTGGGGTCGTGTCTCTCAGCCTAGTGTCTCATCTTCGCCTTGACTGCCTGCAGTTTCTCCTCCTCCCTCCTCCTCTTCTTCATAGATAGCTCCCTGATATTAGCTTCAGGAAGCCACAATGCCCTCCCCCACCTTCCAGAAAACCAAAATTGTATGTAATGAAACAGCTCTTTCTGGGCGAGGCCTTGTGACTCCCTGATTCCCTTCCTTCTAGGTTGTTGGTTGGGGGTTTCATTTGCACATCTGCTCCAAAACTGGTATAGTACACCAAGGGGTACTGGGAGCCCCAGCCCCCTCCACAACTTGTAAGGGGGTAGTGCTAATGAGCTTATGCTAGTTTCAAGAGATTCGATTGTTTGTTTACATTGTTATGGGAATTCAACGGGCAGTTTCTGAGGATTCGATCTCTTTGAACCCAGCAGTGATCTGAATGGTTTGCTGACTTTCTGGATGCTTTCCTGGTGGGGTGGCGGAATGTCACCTGCTCCATGCGCCCCAGTGAGGGGGGGGGGGTTAAAGTTCTGGTTCCAGTCCCCAATAGGCCATACAGAACTTCATGACTGATGTGATCTAGTAGTTGGGTGCCATCTTAGCAAGATAGCTTCAAGGAATCACAAGGGACTACCCAGAAACCTTATGTGGTCATAATCTGAGGAGTTTCTTTTATTTCAACCAATGATTCAATGATTACATATTAATCAAGAGATTCACACACTGCTATGAAACAAGTATCTCAGAGAGCACTAACTGGGTATGAATTAACCTGGCAATTACCAGTTTGACACTTTGACCGAGTTTGGCTTCCATTAAGTTCACCATAAATATATGCTGTGAAGACCAAAGTCCGAGCAGGCAATGAGTAAGGACAAATAAACAGATGAAGCCAAATGTGCAAATACCAATAGTTTAATGCAACATAATTATTATAGAGCTTTAATGAAATTGGAAATTGGAAACATAATATTACCTTTTGTGGAGCAAAAGCATCTTTGGGAAGAGAATCCTTGGATACTTTAGCCTTTTCTGTGAATCCAGGTCCACCAGACTTACTCTCCTTCACTGTTTTACTCTTAGCAAATTTGGATAGAAATTCCTCCGGAGATTCTCTGTTAACATTGGTAAGAGATGTTATTCTAACTTTACACTTATGATAACATAAGTAACATGTAGAGTGTAAGTGTTAAATATAAAAACTGTGTACAGTACTGTATACTGTATATGCACATTTTAAAAATGAGCTGTGAGCACGTTATTTTTTATTGTGGGTAATAAACATAATTCTAAAATACTGTATTGAACCTGTGGCAATGATCATTTATTTGGCTAGTTTACATAGGGATTCTAATTTTCTTTAAAGTTACTTATCTTGTTGTACCTATGCTCACTTATTAGATTTTTCTAGGTTTTAGGTTGATCTCTGATCCCCAAACTCCCCTCACCTCATACAGTGATCCAGATTCTAGTTCTGGCTTCCACTAGGTAATGAATGGGTCTTAAAGGGCTAGTGTGTTTAGCTAAGGTTTGGTGATACCAGAGTTAATCTCAGGGACATACTAAGGGGTCTCTCCCAGAAATAAAAAGATATAATTTTTAGTATCCATGCAATGTGTTAGTAGGAAGGAGGGGATAGCCATCATCAGTTACCCAAGTTTGCACATAGGCATAAATAAGGGCTACCCAGGCACTTTAAGATGTATGGTAAATCAAATTATCAAGCCAAATCAGACAGATAATATGATAAAATTTGGACTTACCTTTGAACTTTAGCAATTTTTCCTGCATACTTCTCAAAATATGGGTTCTTTTCCAACTCCTCTAGAGCTCTCACCATAGCATAGCTAGATGTGCATACAGGTTGCTTACTCATGATGGTCCAAGCTGACTGTGCAACGACACGCCAATGACGAGTAAGGCTTATCATTACCAATGTTTTAATATCTGCCATGGACATAAAACTATTAACATATACGATATGTGAATTATGCAAGTTGCAATAAATAAGAAGCAATATATCACATTTTGAGTTAAAGAAAAGACCTTTCTTAGCTAATCATTCTGCTACTTCTTGAGGTAAACAATTTGTTGCTTGTGAAGAGTCGTGCTTTGTCAGGCAGGATTACTACTTTTATTGGCTCCACAGACATCCTTTCAAGCTTTCCCTTCAAGATTATTTAAGCTGCTATGAAGTCACAAGGTTTGTTCACAAAATCAACCTGGGTACATACTGGTTTGGTAACAGGGTTCATTGATTTGTAGAACCAATTACCACGTAACATAATAGAAGTAGGACCCCCCCCCCCTTGATTGTTTCAAGCGTAGGTTAGACATTATATATGAATAAGTTTGGGTGGATGTAAATAGGAGTTGTCAATAGGCCTTCTGCAGTTACCTTTATTCTTATATTCTTACGTTGGCAGTGGCTGCTGAAGCACTGAAGTTAAACTGTACATCTAACCAACCTAAGGCAGCCGCCACTCTCCACCCCGGCTCGCCCACATGTAAACAAATGTCGGGATCCCTTTCATTAAATCATTTATGTCTAATATTACAGATCACGATTTTTTGGGAAGTGTATTTTAATAATACAATTTTGGCAGTTATATGTTTGCCTTAATATATAATGTTGTGGCTTGAGATTGAGCATTAATCAATCCCTTACGATTTACATTATAAAGAACGTTATATTTATTGCTAAAAAAAATTTAAATAACTATATTATGACAATTTTGCATATTTATTAATAGAGAGAATAATATTAACTGTAAATTATAGTATGTTACAAATATTTAATCGAGTTTCGGAATCGCAGTGAAGCAAATCATAACAAACATGGCGGGTGTCAAAGGTTAGATATACGGGTTTTTTCACGTTTATCTTCATATTACTAAGAGCTTTACACATGAGAAACATACTCAACCCCTCTTTTGAACACTTCTCGTTAAATCTTTCTTATTTTCCATTACCAAAGGTGATGATATGGGGAATTGTGGAGTCTAAGTGAGGCTTCTCTCCCGATTCTGTCATATTGGAGTGAGTCACCTCAAGGTTTCTTATCTCATCTTTTTTCCCCATTTGCTGTGATTATCAGTCAGTGCTCAACATGCAGATGAAAGGTATGGTGGCAGAGGGCGAGTGCAGTAGTCAGCCACGCTAATGCAGAGATGTGATTGGTAATAACCCCAGGTAGCTCCCTTAACTGCAGAGATGCTATTGTGATAACCAGGTACCCCCCCCCCTGCCCTGTCATGTGATTGTGTGATAACTTGGTAGGTGTGATTGAAATAACTTGGTAGCTCCCTAACTGCAGAGATGCGATTGTGATAACTTGGTAGCTCTTTTAACTTCAAGAGATGCGATTGTGATAACTAGGTACCCCCCCCTCCTCCCCTGTCATGTGATTGTGTGATAACTTGGTAGGTGTGATTGAAATAACTTGGTAGCTCCCTAACTGCAGAGATGTGATTGTGATAACCAGGTAGCCCCTAACTGCAGAGATGTGATTGTAATAACTTTGTAGCCCCCTAACTGCAGAGATGCAATTGTAATAACTTTGTAGCCCCCCTTACTGCAGAGAAGCGATTATGATAACCAGGTAGCCCCCCTAACTGCAGAGATACGATTGTGATAACCAGGTAGCCCCCCTAACTGCTGAGATGCGATTGTGATAACCAGGTAGCCCTCTAACTACAGCGCCGTGATCAGGTGCCACCAACTTTTGAAGAAAAACTTGTGCAACTTTTGTACTCCTGTGTAGAGCAGTATGCAAGCATAAGAAAATAGGAGTAAAATTTTAAATTGTTAGATATCAGTCATACACTAAATATATGCCTGTGTATAATAATGTAGAAAAACCCGCATTGAAACATAAGAAATAAAACTGTGTTTTCTTTCTTAATTAGATACGCTCTTTTGTCAGAATTCTTGAAGGGTAATGCTATGTGGAGCATTGTGTAATACTTCTAGTATTTAATATACTGTATATTATACAGTATTACTAGAATAGTACTGTATTTCATTAATTAAATATTAATCAGATTTCCTGTCGGCCCATCAAAATCTCTTTGTTAACTGCATAGCAGACTTTCTTAATGTCTTAACAAATTTTGTATATATATCAGGAAAACTAAAAATTTAAATAAGTGTTTCTACTGTAAAAGATTTACTACTATTAAATATATGCAGCGTATGTACAGTATATTACAGTTGCATGTCTACACTAGTCTAACCCAACAGAAAGAATATATCAGGTCCCATTTTCTTTCACTTTGACAAAATTGGTGCTAATTACAGGCTTCTTGTTAATGTTATGACAATAAGTTTTGATCTTTATCCTATAAATATATGCTATGCATATCTCGTGCAAAGACACTTTCTAAAGTTGACGATACCTGGTGATGCTGTGACACCTTTTAATATGGATTGACCCTGGTAACATTTGGATGCAGTGTACCCTGCTCTCAACCCATGCATAGGTTACTTTACCAATGTTCTTAGCCATGGCTGCTATTTTATTAAATTGTCTTCAGTTCTATAATATATATATATATATACTGTACTGTATCTATATATATAGTCAGAAGAGCACTAAAGCTCCATTTCAAAGCATTTTATCACTAATACTTGGTTATGCATTGGCAAAACATTTTGGAATAGTTTTTTTTTATGCATTGATTCTTCATTTTGTGCTATTGTTGTAACCTAGTTTAAGTTTGCAGGTTGTCTTCTTATTATTGTCTTTGGAGTTGAGCTCTTTTTTTTTTTTTTTTTTTACAGGAGTTTCTGGCCATATTTTCTTAATACCTAAAGTGGCAGATAAATTCCCTTCATGCATTATTTCTATTACTTCCGTTAAAAAGAGTCCCCATTAAAATTTGCCATAATGTGACTTGTTTAAACTGATGGTGTCATACAACAAAAAAAAAAACTAGTAGTAGTAGTTACTTGTTTAAATAAATAAATAAATAATATACAGTATATATATATATTTATTTATTTATTTTTAAGCAGGGATACAGAGGGAACCCTGTAGCTCAATATATGATATGCTTCTTATTTACATTAAGTAAATGTAAAACTATTTTGATGTAATGTTGTGTTGAAATAAAGTATGTGAAGGATTGCCTGTGTGTATTATCAGCTTGAAAACTCCAATAATAAAGTGGTACTGGTATATACCTACACTTAAATTTTGTTATACAGTATATGCTCGGAAATTTGCCAATAGAGCATTTATTGTCTATAGAGAGATTACAAATTACAGAGATGTAAAACATTTGGCCGTGTAACTCATTTAACATGGCTCCAGTCATATTTTTAATGATTTTCGTAGATGGCTGCAATACTAGGAGAAACAGTTGAAGCCTTGAGTAAGCCATTGAGCATATTTAAAGCCAAATTGTATGGTTCATTTTTGTTTATCCAAGTATGAGCTCTGTTACCTTTGAAAATAAGGGGTTTTGAGGCTGGGATGTGGGAAATACTGTATGTTACATGTGAAATTTCTTTACACGCATCTTCTCCTGGTAGTTGTCAGTCATATTAATGAGTTGGAATTTAACATTTCACTTAAGAGAAATTATCTCATAGAGTGGGAAATTGTAAAGTGTGAATGTTAACTCTAGTGCAAATCTGATTAAGTTTTGGAGCACATTTGAAGAAATAATTTCTGAAAATTCGGATTTCACACAAATCTGGATTGGGTTCGGAACAGTATAATTTAGATATTTGGAGGTGTGCCTGTATGTTAACCTCAGCAATTTTAGTGTACTGTAAAACTATACACTTAAAATTTTTGTCTCCATTTTTCCGATTCTTCCTTTTTTTTTCTTTTCAGCGTTGGTAACTTTGGCATTTTCTGCCTCAATTGGGCTAATGTTCCTGATTCTGGCTTGTGCCTTGCCACAATACAAGTATGTAATTTTTCCACTATTCATTTAGTGTATGAAATAATAATGAACAGCTTAAACATCATAAAGATGGGGTATTCTGAGGGGGTTTTCTTCTTTCTAGTTTCAGGTGGGAAAAGCTGTAGATATGATCAGTTGTGAGGGGGTAATATAGATATGACCAGTTGTGAGGGGGTAATATAGATATGACCAGTTGTGATGGGGGTAATATAGATATGACCAGTTGTGAGTGAGGGCTATAATGACCAGTTATGAAGTGGGTACCATTAATATGACATTTGTGAAGGGTTGCCAGAAATGTAGTCATGTATTAGAGGATACCAGAATTCTACTTATCTAGCTGTGCTTGCAGGGGCTTAGCTTCAGCTCTTGGGACCTATTTCTTAATTATCAATTAACTGGTGTACAAGTTCTCAAACTCCTTTGAGCTTTGTCATTATTCTGGGCTGATGTTTCTGTGCCCTATGAAAGTAACTTGCAAATGGATAATGATAACGTATGTATATAAAATAATGCCTGAATTGTATTTATACTGTATATTATAAGACCTTTTATTTGCAATGTTTTGATATCAATTTTGTATTTTTATTTTGGACAGCAACTGGTGGCCCTTCTTTGTTCTTATGTTCTATGTCCTGGCACCTATACCAAGCATCATAGCACGTAGAATGTCTGAGGATACGGGAGGGAGTAATTCCTGCAAAGAGTTGGCATACTTCGTGACAGCTGCCCTCGTGGTATCAGCATTTGGTCTTCCTATTGTCCTAGCAAGATCGCCCGTTGCTCAGCCAGTAGTGAGTGTTCGAATGATTTGTCAGTTAAATGTTATACTGTATGAGATTACTGCTAAGAAAAACAAAATTGTCTTATTCCCCTTATTATGATAGTTGCTAAAAGCTGTGATGTCATATAAGCCTAGTGACATTTTTTAAAGGCCCTAATATCTGATAAGCCTAGATGTTATACGTGACATTGGTAAAGGGTGTAATATCTTGTAGGCCTAGATGTTCTATGTGACATTTGGTAAAGGATGTAATGTCTTATAGGCTTAGATGTTCTCTGTGATATTTGGTAAAGGATGAAATATCTTGTAGGCCTAGATGTTCTATGTGACATTTGGTAAAGGATGTAATGTCTTGTAGGCCTAAATGTTCCACATGACAGTGAAGGATGTAATGTCTTGTAGGCCTAAATGACTCATGTGACATTCAGTAAAAGATGTAATGTTTTATAGGCTTAGATATACTGTACGTCACTTCCAGATAGCATGTGGTATTTGTTCTCCACTACGAGGCCCTATTTATCCTAAGTTCAGGGATTGGCTAGGTTTTGTTATGGGGCATCAGGCTTACTGGTTCAGGGTTTTTCCCATTAGCTTGAATCTGGCCTCCCCCATGTATTTGCTAGGTTAGCACAGATTGCTGTGACCCGGCTCCATCTCTTAGGGGTTTGTGTATTGGATTACCTCGATGACTGGCTGGTGTGATCCCCCAGTCAGTCCACGTGTCGGCTGGCCGGGGATCTGGTTATTTCACAGTTCACTGGGTTCGGGTTCCTGGTGAACTGGAGGAAGTCCCAGTTGGTCCTGTCCCAGAATTAGACTTAGCTGGGCCTCATTTGGGACTCTCAGTTCGTTTTTCTATCCCTGTCACCAGCAGCTTTACTTTGCCTGTGGATTGGCCCTAGATGATTCACCCGTTGGTCGAGCAGTTATACAGGAGCTTGAACTTTGCCTTCGTGGTTTTCCTGCTGGGCAGAGTTTGGCTCTGGACATTTTACCGATTTCTCTGGTTCTTTCCATTTCACCACTCCTGAAACCTGGTGAGTTTAGGCCAGTGCTCCTTGTGCCTCTCTGAGGGAGCTAGGTTCTGGCTCGTGGTCCCTGGTAGGCTAGAATTCCAATAGAATTGCCTGATGCCACAGTCTAATACTGTACATACATATCAGTCCGGTATAGCTCCAGGGAGCCTCTGTGATTCACCCAGAAAATGGTGTTCTTTGGTTCATTGTTAGGTTGTCCATTAGCACGAAAGTAGGTCCATCATGATCCTCACAGGAATGGAAACCGAAAACCTCGCCGAAGAGCTGTGGAATCTACCAAGCAGAACCAACCATGCTGCAACAGAGCCTGAGCCTGAGAGACCGCACAGAGCCGAGAAACAAGCCAAAGAGCTCTCAAACTGTCATCAGGAACTGGCAAAATGAGCCAGAAGAGCCTGAGCCAAGATCACACTGTAGTGTCGAAAAAATCTAGTGGTAAATGTATCGAAGCCCCCTCCTTTCTCCTCATCCCTTCTTGTTCAAGCTCCAAAACATCTGAGGATTTCAGAGTCTAGTCAGTGTTTAGGTTTACATGTAACTTGGCCACTTCTGAGGGCTGCCCTAACCAATTTGATGGCAGACAGTTGAGACCTATATTTTGTACAGTAATCATTTATTGATTTTGTCAGTTTTGTGTACATAAATAGGGTTGTTCAACAAAAACACAAGCATCAAGTGTTTCATTACATTCAACACTTGATATATGGTATCTTATACTTTTTTTGAGCATCAACTTTACATGTCAAGTTCATGAAATTAAAATTATTTTGATTTCAAGTACAGTATGCTGTATAAATACTGTATGTTTAGTATACCTGTAAAATATTTTAATATATAGTAGTTTTATGTACCAGCTAATGCTTTTATTTTCTTTACAGATTCAGTTGGGTGCTTGTGCATTAGTCTTGGCAGGAAATGTGGTGACATTTTTAACCATTTGGGGCTTTTTCATTATGGCTGACAGTGATGATGTGGAATACAGCATGTGGTGAAGATAATGTGGAACACTTGTTTGGTTAATGGTTGCTGAAGATCATTCAGTTGTGTAACCCTTGGCAATTTATCAACAGTAAAATCCTCAGAAAGTATTCAATTCAAGGATTGGCATATTATTAATTTAACCCTTAATTTTGGCAACACACGTACATTATCTTTTGTTTTGAATGCTATAGAGGTACATCCCATGGTCATTGGTTATTGCTATCCATACATTGGAATGATTTTGCAAAACTGAAAATTTAAGTGATGGTTCTTATTTTGGAAGTCAGTAGTGATGATACCTCGGTTGCTTTACTGCACGTTTGAACATGGATAGATCACGTGATAACTTATTTTCACTTGCCTCAATAAAATAATACTGTATACATATCTCAAACTTGTGCTAATTGATGACAGTTTGATATTACATTACTCTCAGTGCTTAAAACTCTGTATTTGCTAAACTTGGCTTGATCAAAAACCCCTAAGTTAGGTAGGAGCATTTAATATATATATATTTGCCTTAAAAAAAGTAATGAGCATATGTTAAGGTTGAAGTGAAGTTGTTTGAAAAAACATTTTCACATTTTTCAACTGTCCTGTCCACCTAGGTAACCATTAAAGCTGATCCCTGATTTGTGATGGAATTTATCTTCTGTATTTAATGTGCGACAATAACATTGTTCAGCCATTTTTTTTGTTTTTACACGCATTTGCTTGAAATTTGACTGATGTTGATGTTAGTTCAGGGGGTAGTATAGATTAAGTGAATTAATGTCAAGCTCATGTCTTCCTTAAGTATTTTCCAAAATGCTGATCAATTTTTGGTTGGTTCATTTTATACTGTATTGACTTTCAGACTGTGACAATCATATAATTTATGTAGCATGTATGTATTACAAATTTCCATATTTGAACTAGTGTCTAAAGTTGTATTGTTTAACATTACTATAAACTGCTTTATTTACTTATATAGTATGTAATATATTAAGTTTGTCGTTACTGTATGCTGGTTCTCAGGGTACAAATTGATTGTTCACATCACATTAGACATAAATAATGTAAAAAAAAAATGTAATGTTATCCTAAAATATTATCTATAAAACTTCAGTATTCTAAAATGCGACCTTAAAAATGTCTATGCATTAAGGGTAGATGGTAGACGTGACATATCCTATTTGATATTGATGTTGTAATTGTACACATAATCAATAGATATGAGCCTTGTGCTGTATTTCCACATGGTGTATTTTCCTACTTGTTTTAGATAAAAGCAAACCTTTTGGTAATCACTCTTTATGGCGCTCGAGCTGTGTGATCTTGTAAATATTACGAGGAATTGAAACTTGCTGTTTTCAATACTGATGAGCGTTAATGTCTTTAAAATTGTTTGGGGCAAATATTAATTTGATCTGTACTTACGTATTGGAGAAATTGAAGAATTCTTTAGACTGGCAGCTCTCTTTAGGGTTATGAAGGTTATGGTTGGATATCAAACTTTTTTTATGCACATTATTTGATGTAATTTTTAATAGCAGGATGTTTTCTTATAACTAAATGCAGTAAGGTCAACAATTTAACTAAAAATGTGGCTGTGTTCTTTACCAATTTTTGTTTTTCCTTATATAAAATGGCTATATCTCATTTGCCATGATAAGTGTATTTATGCTTTCATGTAGATTTTGTGTCAGTTGGTTGTGGATGGAAAACAATGTTTGTTTTTCCTCAACAAATTTAGCAAGACAAAGTTTCCATTAAACAACAGATCTGTCATAAAATAAAAGTAGCTAATTACTTGCTGTTATTTCAGAATATATAATATGCAGTGCTGTGCTTTTCACATTTTTAAACCTTATGCCGTATGAAATAAGTTAACAATGTATATTTATTATCAAGCCAACAGAAACTATTATTTTATTTCATGTTGTACACTTGATATGGGTTTGATGTAGTTACAGGTGTGTAAACAAAAATTTACTAAAATTAAAAGAATGAACAGAGCTTGATTCTTTTGAATATTAACTTGAAATTACTGGGTATGTGATTAGTCTTAAAGACAGTTTTGCGTCATATGCTTTCGGCTCAATTTAGAGGTTGGACCACCAGACACTTGTGGCTAGCCTCACCTGACTTTGTGAATGACACGTTGGTGGAAGGGGACTGTCACAGGCAGGTTGAGGTCAGCCCCAGTGTCTCCATCCCCATCCCCCTCCTTAAATAGGATCGGCACTTACTGCGACTCCCAGTGACTCAGAGTCTGAAATTGGAGCTTGGTTTTCCATTGTTTTTTCAATAGTTCATTACACACTGTCACTGCAACAATGATCTCTAAAAAGTGCACAATAAATTATTTTTCTGTTCATAGTGGTTTAGTGTGCATATACATACATACATACATTAATGTTTTTCATGTGTTTAGAGGGTTATATTTATTGAAATAGTTTGGCTTAAATTATGTAATTTCTTAACATTGAAAATAAATTTTCCTTAGTTTGGTTTTGTAACATTTAGGATACACTGTATAGTTAAGTAATGTTTCTATTTAATACGCTGTGTAAATATATACCTAGTGGCTCATTATGGTATAGACTGGGGGTTTCGCTAGGCATTAATTAGCTCTAACTCATTCTTTTGTCAGATTGTATGTAGCAAGTTTGAAAGGATGCTGTTACTGAAGGGAGTCTCATAGAAAACATAAAATGTTTGCAAAATTAGTTGATTAAATTTTTTTTCAACAAATGGAGAGTTTATTTGAGTGTACCATGTGTACTGTATTATGCTTGGGATCTGTAAATACTTTTGAGCTCGGAGAGGAGATAATAGGATATTCTCTTTTTGTTTGGCAAAAATCTCCAAATTTTGTTTGGTACTTGCTTATGTAATATAAAAGTAGCTGTGTTGTAATATCTTTTTCATAATATCTTGGTTGCTGCCCATCTCTATATCTTTCAACTCTGCAGGAATGTTAAATAACAAATATCGAGATGTTTCCTTGCTCATGTAATAATCATAACAAAATTATTGACGATTGTGAGAATCCTGGGCGGGACAGAAATGCTTGGGCACATTTCCTTTCACCTAATGCCTCTGTTCATCTAGCCATATGTAGTTACTCAGGAGTTAGTCAGCTTGTTGTGGGGTTACATCCTGGGCAGAGTAAGTAATTTGACCTTGGGGGGGATGGGGACCTAGATATAAGCCTAACATGTCTGAATACACTTTGGTTTCCTGTCCCCCGACATAATGAATTATTATTATTATAAATGATATAGGAAATAATTTTATAAACACATTCTTCATCAACTTGCAGTGAGATAATTGTTGTGATTCAGTTTATCCACAGCAAAATAACAATAGTGAGAGAGAAAAGAAAGGAAAGAGTTTATAATAAAAAAGTATAAAATAGGTTAATTATACGAAAACATACAAGGAGTAATATTCGAGTCAAGGTGCTGAACACTGCCAGAAGCATACTACAACACTTCTTCCATGTAGTGCTTCCCTGGATGCACAGACATATTCAGTTATATTATTTATCCTCAGCCTAACTAGTGAATAGGGTTGGTGTGTGTGCTTTGTTAGTTTTGTGTACAAGGCAGTAAGTTCAACAATCAATTTGATTGTACAAACATTTGGGGCTGCAAGAGAAAAATTCTATAATGCCCAGGGCCTCATACTCAACCCATTCAAATTTACTGCATTATCTATTTTCAGCACTGTATAATATCCAGAAGTGTATGATTCATATGGTGCAGAGCACATTAGGTGTTAAGGGTCTATTGCACTATGTATGTTCCTCAATCAGGGTTTTGTACACAACTGTTTTGCTATGCCTCAGAGAAACAGCATGTGACAGTAACCCTAAATTCTTCTCCAACCTTGTGCAGCACATTCCTATTGCACCAGGATATTCATTGTGAACACGAAAATGGAATGTACTCTCATGCCCGCTGCACACAACAGGGAGGAGATGAATTGATACCCTTTGAGGGGCAAGTCATGAGACAAGTTTTCATTCAGATAACGCCTTTCTCACTCTGGCATTCCAATGCTTATGCTCACTGAATGATGACCTGTTCCTCACATAAGATTTTGATTGATGTGTAAGGCACTTCTTTCCAAATTGTCATCAATATAGTATCCCTTAAAGATGAAAATTTTATGAGGCATCCTTTTGCATCATTAACATTTACTCTTGTAGGTCGTGTATCTGTTAAAAACATCTTATATATCTCTCTTGGTTCTTTAGGCATTATGTAAATAATAGATAGAGGATTGGCATGTTTTATTGATTCCTATAGTTAGACAAAACATTTTTATATCTTGTAAAACTACCATTTTATGCCAGTTTCTTTGATCAAGTTCATTTATGAAAGAACAGTGTTTTCTTTTGTATTTATAATACTGATACAGTATCTTTATTCGTGGTGCCGTTACATGCATTTGTTGTACTCATACCTGCATTCGTGATATCAACACCTGTATTCACCAATTTATCATTTTGAACTATGATGCAAGTTAATAATTTTTTATTATAACATTTTTGGGTTTATTATTCAATACAGTATTATATACTGTATACATGTACTATATTTTATCAATTCCAGTTTTTGCTCCAGTTTTATTCCAGCTTGCCTTCAAGCACTGTTATAACTTCAGCTATTAGCAGTGGTTTACTGTGTGATTACCTTGTGTTGGTTCTGATTACCTCGTAGTTGGTTCTCTACGGCCCATTGTGTGACCAGGCCAATGTTATTGTCAACTTGCAACCTGATTATTTTCAAAGCTTCACCTCAACATATGCTTCACTCACTTCTGGCCCCCTAGTGTAACACCTTAACCAGCTTACCATCTTTAGCAAGCATTACCAAATGGCTACTTGAAACAATACAGTGGTGCCTACAAATAATTGATCACATGGGCATGGTCAGACATAACTGTCTTGTATTGTGGCCAGTCAGTAAATGGTTATGGTCAAGCAGTAGAATAAATTGTGGTATCATTTGCATATTTACAAATGATTCTCTTGGGGTCCCAAGATAGAATTTTCATATACTATAAATAACAATGACAAAAGTAAAATTATCATGATTCATTTCTCTTCACATTACAATACAAGTTTCATAAGTGCTGGATTAATGAAAGAAATGTGTAAGGAAAGAAGAAATAGCTATTGTAAACTGACATTGCCTTCCCAGTGATTTAGAAGGCTTCCACTGTTGCTGAAACGTATTAAAGATATTAATGATATTAAAGACATTAATTACTGGGCAGAATAAAATCTGCAGGACATCCGGAGGCCCCTATCGAAACTAGTCCAGGTCTTAACATATAACCCCATGAACACTAATAGGTACTGGAGTCTACTATGCTCCAGGTCAGGTGCGCAGCTTTGGGGTACCAAAATCAAGGGGTTTGAATTACCCACATTGCTCCAATTAATGTTCTCATCAATGTATCACATTAGTGCGAGTTCCTTGTGTATTTTATGCTGGAGCATAGTGGAGATCTCTTTTACCTATACTAGAGTGCATGGGAGTTGTATGTAAAACCTTGACTGACTTTAGTAGGGGCCTCTAGATGCCCCTGCAGATTCAGTGGAATCCCAGGTTTTATAACTTATACCATGTCATGGTCCAGATGTAAGGTGTGCAGTTTGGGAGTATGCAAGGAGGGGATGGGGTTCAAATCCCCCCGCACTGCTCCAATTCATTTCCACATTGATACATCATGTTAGTGTGATTTCCTTGTGGATATGATGTGAAAGTGTGTAAGAGTTTTTAATAATTATCAATAGTACTATCATGTTAGTGTAACAACATAATACTACAAATAAATTAATATGAATAGTTATTAGATTAGTATAGATGGTCTACCAAAGCACAACCAAAAAAGTACAGTAGTCATTTGATTCTCCAGAAACATGAAAAAGTCAACCATCCCAACACTGATATTCATAAACTCCATCAGCTTTTATGAAGATCTAGCACAGTTTCATGTCACCCACCAAACTGACTGGCCTTCACCACTTAAAAATATCAGAGAAGACTACTAAAACTTTCTAAGTCACCTTGAAAATACTGTACTGTGTTGAATAGCCAAGTTTCACATAAGAGCAAACATGTAAATATAGGGCATTAATTCTTTAGCTGTGTAACTAGTTTTATGAAAATTATTTTGAGAAATAATTTTGAATGTTGAAGTCTAAAGTAATTCTTGTATTAAAAGTTTGAATGTCATCAGCAGAGTTGTGTGAAGTATACAGAGAGTATAGAACTTAGGAAGACCCTATCTTACAAGTGGACTCGCAACCTCCCTGATTGCCCCTTGTTTTCCCAGTCTATAGTGGTCTCCTGGCCAGTGTAAACTGTAGCAACTATATTAAGTAGTAATATACTTGTGAACCTTCTCATTATCTGCACATAAGCTAACGTGAATATGGAGCAAGTAAATTTAATATTCAGAATATTCTATTTAATATTCAGTAGTTGCTACAAGAGCTATGTATTCTGTGGACAGTTTCAGCCGTGTATCAAGGAAAATACTATTAATAACGGCTGATAAGAAAAGGCAAAGTGCTAGTGATGCCTCAGTGCCAAGAAAGAGGAAACCCATTACCCTAGAAACAAGTTACAAGAAGGGAGACAACCTATCACAGACTGCATTGTTCAGAGGCATGACTAAAATGGCATTGATGGTTAGATCTCATCATGTGACATGTTGAACTAAGGATTTTGCTCAGTAATTTGCCTTACAGCATGGGGGGGAAAAAAGGGCATGAATGTTATATATATTTGTTTTAATTTTGCTTGTAACATTTCTTTTTTCTTTTTAGGTAATTTATTATGCACCCCATACCAATCCTGCAGGTGGTTAGGTTATCATTTTGAGATTATCTTGAGATGATTTCAGGGTTTAACATCCCTGCAGCCAGGTCTTTTACTTGCCAGAGACCAGTAAAAATCTCAAAGGTTTTACTTGGGAACCAGGCCTCAATTTTGTTACCCATTCCCAGGAAGCTGCCTGTAGCAGCTGTCTAACTCCCAGGTACCTATTTACTGATAGGTGAACCGGAGTATCAGGGTGAAAGAAATAATGCCCATTTGTTTCCGCCTCTGCCGGAGATCGAACCAAGAACCTTAGGGCTACAAATACCGAGCCCTGTCCACTCAGCCTTCAGGCCCCTTAGTGGTAGTGGAAAGTATTAGAGAGGCACATAATGGGCTCAGGGACTGAACCTCACAATTCATTTAGCTAAGCAAGTTAATGAGTTGGTTACAAAATTCAAGGCACATTGTCACAACAACAATGGGCGGGTCCATAGAATTACCCCAATCATCCCAAATCAGGCCAAAACTACCCAAAACGTATTAGCATTACGTAAGTAATGAAGAAATATGGTATATTTACTTACTATAATGTTGGTGCTACACGTAGAACATGATCAAACCTATTTTTTCTCTGAAATAATCTAATTTCATAACGAAATGAGACGTAAATATGTGAGAGGTGACGCCATAGGAAGTCGACGGTCCAAGCGACAATTGTGTGGAGCGACTTATCCAAGAAATATGGTCGCCAGGAGAGTGTTTGCTGCCATATCAGCCTCCTGTACACAGTGATCCAGTCCTTTTCGTTCATTGAACACCGAACCCTACACGCCCTCTGATATATTGCTTAATTAACAAATATTCACAAATAAAGATTATATTTGTATATGTTATCAGAAAGGCAGATATAAAATAGTTTTTGTGAATCCATCACAGAGATTATACCTTATTAGAGAGGAAAAATATTCATACTTTAAACAAGGCTTCATGGCCGACGCTCTCCTTACCGATATTCGAACCCCAGTTGGAAACAGACCCAACTATAGGATGGGTTAACCCAAGTATCGCGCTTCCAAAAGGGTCGCCCAAGTTGGAAAAGACGAACGCTGAAAGAATATTGTTGAAAACATCTTGATAACTGATTAAACCAAAATTATTTATTAGTCAGAAGAAAGACAGAAACGCGATCTATATGTAAAACCTCTACCAGACAAATATTTTAAGTAAAACCGAAGATATTTGTAGTTGTATAAAAGTGGCAGTTTTCATCGCTCGTCAAACTCGAAAACCGCAGCATTCATCTCAGAACCATGCCTATTTCACGCAGATTCCTTAATAAACGTAAGAGTTTTATATGTCACAAGAAAGACAGATATATAAGCTTCGTTCTAAATACCTTACCATGGGCATATTTAAATTTAAAGCGAAGATACGTGTACTTTTATAATAGCCGAGCTCCGACTCCGAACAGATCGATCGACGGAGCAACTCTCTCTCAGAACAATGCTTATTTCACGTAAATTTGTAAATAATCGTAAATTTGTTGTATGCCTCAAGAAAGATAGGAATATAAGGCTCATTTTAAACACTTTATCATAGACATAATTAAAGTTCTAATGAAGATTCATGTATTTTAATAATCGCCGAGCTCCGACCCCCGCATAGACTGAGCGACAGAGCAACTCTCTCAGAAGAATGTTTATTTTACGTAAATTCGTTAATAAACACAAATGTTTTACGTCTTAAGAAAGATAGAAATATAAGCTTTATTTTAAATACATTACATTAGACATATTTAAAGCTCAAGTGAAGATATATATGTTTTTATAGTGGCGTTCAGTAGCTTTTCGGTCATGGAGTGCAGACGCCTACGCACTTGCCAATATGTTGTGTAATTAACAAAGATACGCTAATAAAGCCTAAAATATTACATGCCTCCAGAAAGACAGAGCTATAATCGTTATTGTGAGTGCATCAAAGAAAATATATCATGTTGGAGACCAATGATATAGCAATTTTAATTTAAGTTTCGAGTCCCGCCCGGTCGAGAGAGATGGGGCGACTCTTGCCCCATCTATTGGAGATTCTGTCCACTAAAGACCCAAAGCTACTCAAACCTTCCTAGCATTACGTAAGCAATGAAGTAATATGGTATATTTACTCACTATAATGTGGATGCTGGATGCACAAAATGAGAAAACATAATTTTACTCTGAAAAAATATAATTTCATAACAAAATAAGATGTAAATATGTAATATGCCCGAAACGCTGCGCGTGCTAGTGGCTTTACAAGACTGTAATTACCATATTTGTATCCTCACATTCCTTATGTACATTCTTGTATATGCACAAATAAATAAATAAATAAATATCAAAGGAAGTCGATGGTCCAAGCAACAATATCGTGGAGCGACTTATCCAAGATATATTGCTCTCTGGAAAGTG